GTAGGGCTGGTAGAACTTGGAGAGCCGCGGCTTTCCGTGGTTGTTGAAGATGAGGATCGCCTTGATCATGGCTGGGCCGGCCGACCGGGTGGGCGCTGGGGGCCGGGGCGGGGGCGGGAGCGCGAGCCTCGCCTCGGGATCTAGCCGGCGATCCTTCCCCACCCGCCCCCTCCTGCACGCGCGCGCGCGCGCTCCCGAACCGCGGGGCGGGGCCCGAGAGGGGCGGGGCCTGGGCGGAGGAGAGCGGAAACATTTCTAGGGCAGAGCCCACTGCTGGAGGGGCGTGTGCACACTCGGAGGAGGTCGAGGACGTTGCCCGTGGTCCCCCTCTCGAGACTTTTTGCGGCAGGAGAACACTCGTTGATGACTCACTTTCACAGATCCAAGACAGTTTCTATTTAAGGACTAGCCGCTAGCTCCATCTTTCACTATTGAGTTAGGGTCCCCCTACTCCGGCTCCTCCTTTGCGATGCTCCGCGGTGAAACGCCGTTCCACTGCACGCACTCAGCCGCCACTTCCGCTCTCGCTTCCTGCCGACCAACATGGCGGAGGAGCCGGAGTCTGTGTTGCAGCTGCCTCCCTCAGCCGTTGCCGGCGGCGAAGGACCCACGGAGGTCTCCCCAGAAACAGCCACTCCGGATCCCCCTTCTTCTGCTGCAGTTTCCCCAGGGACAGAGGAACCTGCTGGCGACACCAAGAAAAAAAGTAATTTTGAGAAGTTTCATTCTAGGCAGTGGGGGGAGGTCCAGATTTCATCCGACTAGGGGTGGCGGCCAATAAAGAAGCAACATTTAGAGGACGGTTAGTCCCAGACGTGCATTTTAACCAGTTGTCAGAAGACCTTTGAGTTGAGTGTCTCAAAAAAGTCATCTTTGTCGTAGTTATGTGCACTCTTGGTGTAGTGCCTGGCACTAGAGGATGACACACCTCTTTTTACACTGTATTTTAATCTTCCTTTGAGTTGGCCACACTGGAGCTCTTTGAAGGAGGGAGCTGAGTGGGATCTCGATGACTCCAGGTACTTAGTGTATGAGCTAATAATTCGAATAATGATTTTGGGTGCTAGGGATGGTCAGTGACACAAGCCTTGGACTGGAATTCATGCCTTCCGATTAGTTCGCTGTTTCCCCCCCCCCCTCCAAATTGAGTGTGAATTCACTCTTTGAACAACAACAACAACAAAAACTGAAATTTTACCCAATAGGAAAAATACTAAGGGAAATCTAAAGGCATGGGTATTGCCTTTTTAAAATACGCACATTTTGGAACCTTTGTAAGAGTTATTTCATTATTTGAGCTGGCTGTTCTCAACCCTTTATTATTTGAAAATTAGTTCGCCATTGTAAAATACAAAAATTCCTATGGTTACTTATCCTGGAGCTCTAGAGTTAGAGCTGCCTATGAGAAAAGCAGCAGATAAACGCCTTCAATTTGAAGAAGTCGACCTTGTCCTTAGACAAGTTTTCTCAGTCCAGAGTCTTAAAATGACAGTGGTCTCATGGCCTTTTCATCGAATGCTGTGGAGGATAATTCTCTCCCAGGGGTGCCCTCCTTTTAACTCAGACTGCCTTTACATTTGGGAGGATTATTCTGTCATTTCTGCATAATGCACTGTGATTATTTCTACAGATAACCACTAGAATCTTTCTTCCAAAGAATCCCAGGTTTTTCAGGTTTTTGTTGCATTTTTTTCTTCCGTTTAGGCAGGAGAGGACTTTTAGAGGGGTTGTTTAAAGTCTGTTTCAGTCAGAAGTTTATTACTGATGATAGCTGTGTAAAACAAAAGGGAAAACAACAATAGCTCACAACCTAGATATTGCCTGAGGGCATATTTTCAGTGGTCTGCACAGTATTTTTTGAAAATTAAGCCATCATTTGAAGGTTGGATTTTTATTTTTTGGCTCCTGTTAACATTTAGTTCTCCTTTCTGAATAAAACTTAGTTCTAGCTTTTGAATTCCTATCCGAGATTGCCAACATTTTTTGAGGATCATCTGATAAAAGAAGCTTAACAATTTTGTATGTTCCACCTTTGTTTTAATCCACAGAAGAAAGACTGTTCAAACAGACCAAACTATGGCCCCTGGCCGCATGTTAGGTCTCCCCGGGGGATTCTGTTAGGTACCCTAGTTGATTCTAATGTGTCACCAGAGTTTAGAACTACAAGCAAATTCCCTTTAAAATTAAATGTAAGAGTGCAGCTTATAGTTAAATCAATATTTTCTCCTTCTTTAGTTTTTTGCCCTCCCACTCTTCCATCCTCTTCAGTAGTCCAACTCAATGTTTTCTGCTTCACTTTCTTTAAATGCCTAATTTCAGTAATTGAGTTATTGATAGCCACAGGGCAGGGAGGGTATTAAAGTTAGGCTAACCAAAATCCTTTCTTATCTCCAAATTTATTTCTATTCCCAAGATAACTGAAGCTAGGATAATTAAGTAGTTCTTTAGCTGGAAATAAATGTACATGATGTACTCTAGCTGTCTTCTTTTAAGGACCCCCTTCTTTTAAGGACCCCCTTAGAAGGATGTAATAGAAGGACCTCCTTAGAAGGATGTAATAGAGTAGAGTTAACTTTAGGGGGCAGCAACACACTATTTTGCTTTCAGGATTGCTTGGTTTTGATTGTAAATATCTTTTTTTTTTTTTTCTTAGCAAAATAACCTTCAAGGGACAGATTTATGGTCTTTAGGTTTACATACCTGTATTGTGGATCATTGAAAACTTAAGATTTCTCTGTCAGAAACTTCTTTTGGAGCTGTGCGCTGTGGCTCATGCCTATAATCCTAGCATTCTGGGAGGCCGAGGTGAGAAGATTGCTTGAGCCCAGGGATTCAAGACCAGCCTGAGCAACTTGGCGAGACCTCATCTCTACAATATATCAAAAAATTAGCCAGACATAGTAGCATGTGCCTGTAGCTCCAGCTACTTGGAAGGCTGAGGTGGAAGGATTACCTGAGCCCAGCAGGTTAAGGCTGCAGTGGCCGTGAGTGTGCCAATGCACTCCAACCTCGGCTACAGAGTGACACTCCAACTCAAAAAAGATAAGAAACTTCTTTTTGGCCTCTGATTGTTGTGTTTTATTGTTAATAGCTTGTTTTCCTTCATTAAAAAGTTCATAGCCGGGTGCGGTGGCTCATACCTATAATCCCAGCACTTTGGGAGGCTGAAGTGAAAGGATTGCCTGAGTCCAGGAGCACACTAAAAGGCATCCAAATTGGCAAGTTCAAAAACTGTTTTGAGCAGTATAAAAAAGCATCTCCATAGGTGTATTGCATCAAACAAAGCATACTTTGAAGATGGCTAAAGTTTAAGCATGAAAGAATAAATATAAATTTTTTAATAAATAAATTCCAGGTTTTTTTGCGTCCCCCTCATACCTAGTAAACGACAAAACCAGGATTCAAACCCAGGCAGTTTAAAGTGGGTGCTTTTACTACAGGGTTCCCAACTCCCAGGCCACGCAGCAGGAGATGAGCAGTGGGCCTGTGACCGAAACTTCATCTGTATTTACAGCCACTCCTCCTTGCTCACATCACCACCACCTGAGCTCTGCATCCTTTCAGATTAGCACGTGTATTAGATTCTCATACGAGCATGAACCCTATTGTGAACTATGCATGCAAGGATCTAGGTTATGTACTCCTTATGAGGAACTAATGCCTGATGATCTGAGTAGAGCTGAGGTGGTGATGCTAGCACTGGGGAGCAGCTGCAAACACAGATTAACATTAGCAGTGAGGTTTGACTTCACAGAGACCATAATAAATCATTTGTTTGCAGTCTCATCAAAACCCTATCAGTGAGTGGCAAGTGAGTTGATGTACTGCAATTGTACAGCTGCATTTGGTGTCAGGCTTTAAGTCAGAATCCAACACTTAATTTTAGTTCACTCATAGCCCACCATTTTATTTACCACTTCTGTCCATGCCTCTTTTTTTTAAATAGTGAGTTGTATAATTATTTCATTATATATTACAGTGTAGGTATAGTAGAAATAAAGTGCCCGGTGAAAGTTACATGTTTGAAGCATCCCTAAACCACCCCCCCCCCACCAACCTTTCCCCCCCACAATCCCAGTGTGGAATAATTGTCTTCCACAAAACTGGTCCCTGATGCCAAAAAGGTTGGGGACCACTGCTTTACAACATTCTAATATTGAGCATAATATCCTTTATTTAATCACTTCTAAGTACCTTTGATATTTAGGTCTACCAGTTTTTCCTAAAAAAAAAAAAATATATATATATATACACACACACACACACACACACACATATATATACTTATATGGAGGTTAAATCTTTCTAAGCAACTCTTTTTGTTTGTTTGTTTGTTTGTTTGTTTGAGTTAGAGTCTCACTGTTACCCAGACTGGAGTGCAGTGGCTGCTCCCGGCCACCGCAGCCTTGACCTGCTGACCTTTGGCGATCCTTCCGCCTCAGCCTTCCAAGTAGCTGGAGCTACAGGCACACACTACCATGCCCAGCTAATTTTTTTGATCTACTGTAGAGATGAGGTCTCCCCTGCCCAGGCGGGTCTCAAACCCACGGGCTCAGGCAATCCACTCACCTCAGCCTCCCAAAGGCGCGGGATTACAGGCTAAGCAAATCTTTACATATCCTATGTTTTCCTAGACTAGATTCCTAGAAATATTGAATTCAAGTATTATTAACCCCCAAAAACACAGAATTTATTGATTTAAAATTTTGTAATTATTTTTACATCAGCATATATTCCATGTGCAATACACCTATCGAGACACATTTTCCACAACTCAAAACAGTTTTTGAACTTGTCGATTTGGATGCCTTTTAGTGCTTCTACTGTTTTTTTGTTTTACCTCTTCCACATCGGCAAAACGTTTCCTTTTGAGGACTTTTTTCTTCTGGAGAAGCAAAAGAAAGTTGCTGGGGTGAGATTGGGTGAATAGGGAAGGTGGGGCACAGAGTCATGCCATTTTTTATCAAAAACTGCCCAACATTCAGTGTGTTGTGGGCAAGTACACTTGTAAATCACCCGTCATAAAATGGGCAAACATGCTAAAAGAATCTCCAGAAAAATTTCACTGAAGCCGAACATAGTCTCTCACAATAACGCTAGCTGGTGAGTTGATGCCAGTGGGTTCCTAGAATACTTAACCTGGCCGGGAAACCTGTACTACAGGGGTCCCATCCTCCAAAAAATAATTCTGGTTGTTTTTGGCTCTTCCCTCATGTACCTTTATGGATTGGGATTAGTATTATCATATTGTTTTCCAGAAAGGGTATACCATTTTGTATTCTCAATAGTAGTATCATCTACACTGTTATTCTAATTTTTACTAGTTTGGAAGGTGGAAAAGGCCATGACATTATTTTAGTTTGCTGTTTTGTAAACTTAAATATTGTTTCATATCTTTATTGACCATTTATGTTTTTTCTCCTTGAAATTACCTGTTAAATTAAAATGCATTGTATTTATTTATTTTAGAGACAGGATCATCTTGCTCTGTCACTTAGGTTGAAGTGCAGTGGCATGAACATAGCTCACTTCAAACTCCCAACTCCTGGGCTCAAGTGATTCTCCCAGCTCAGCCTCTTGAGTAACTAGGACTACAGGCAGGTGTGTGCCACCATACCCGGCTAATTTTTTTTTTTTTTTTAATAGAAATGGAGTCTCACTATGTTTTCCTGGCTGGTCTGAAACTCCTGGCTTCAAGTGATCCTCTCTCTTTGACCTTTCCTGCCTCCCACACCAGGCCAAATACATTTTAAAGATTAATTCCATGGGGAGAACTTTGTAGAATGGATCGACTTAGAGTCTATAATACTGAGTGATGTATCACAGAAACAAAGAACTAAGTATCATTTATTCATTCATAAATGGACCTTGAACAGTTATCGTAAACTATAAGAAAAGAATTGGCAGTAGCGGGAAACTGCCTGGGTGGGGGGATGCAGGGAGGTGGGACTGGCAGTAGTGGGAATCTGCCCGGGCAGGGAGGGGACACCACATTAACAAGGGTACCTGCATAATGAACATTTGTATACCTAACCCTGAATTGTACTCCACACCTTTAAAATAAAAAAATTAGAACAGAACAAAAAAGAAAAAAGATTCTACTATTTCTATATCTCTGACATGTTAAGTATCATAAATACACAAAATGTATGTAGATTAAATGTCCTAAAGTCTTGTATATCACATAGTCTTGAAATATTTCAGTGTAATTTTTTTTTCTTTTCCAGTTGATATCCTGCTAAAGGCTGTGGGAGACACTCCCATTATGAAAACAAAGAAGTGGGCAGTAGAGCGAACTAGAACCATACAAGGACTCATTGACTTCATCAAAAAGTTCCTTAAACTTGTGGCCTCAGAACAGTTGGTATGAAACCAATGGTGATTGTTTTCCTACAAAATTTTGCCATTGTTCCTAGGCAACAATGAATGACTTGTTTATAGAAATACGTTGCTTTTGTTATGCCCTTTTATCTCTTGTCTTGGTAGGGTTTATGTACGTTAAGGATTCTCTAGGGAACCCTGAAATGAAATGAGTTTTAGATTTATTTTACTAAGTGAACTCCCCAAATTTTTGTATTTTGGAAATTTTATTTCCATGGAATTTTACTTTCATAAATCCAGGGTAACTACATCTACTTGTTAAAGTAATGAATTATAAGCCACTTCTAGTTTCTTCAGTGGGACTGATGATGATGTTAACCTGTTACTGATACATAGTTTAATGCTATTCAGACACATTTATGGCTATATCTCTTTTAAGCTAGCTGAATTGCTTTTTTAAAATTGTAGTTACTTCCAGTAATTAACTCCTGTTACAAAATCATGATGAATTCCTTTGGTTCTCAGCTCCATCTACTCTACTGTCCCTGTGTACACTTGTGCCATCTTACTCTTTGACTCCTTTGTCTGTAGAGCTCTAATTACTTTTTTCACCTGGTTAAATCCTGCTTATTTCTTAAAGTTTCTTTTCCACAAAAGTTTCTCTGGCTGTTTTGCTAGGCTAGATTAATGCTATGTTTTTGTATGCCTCATACCTTATTAGATGCACTTTTCTCCACTGTCTTTTTTTTTTTGAGTTGGAGTCTCACTCCTATTGCCCAGGCTGGAGTTCAGTGGCACCCTCACAGCCACCACGGTCTTGACCTGCTGGGCTTAGGCAATCCTTCTGCCTCAGCCTTCCAAGTAACTGGAACTACAGATGCATGCCACCACGCCCTACTAATTTTTGCGATTTATTGTAGAGATGAAGTCTCACCTAATTGCCCAGGCTGGTCTAGAACTCCAGGGCTTAGGTAATCCTCTCACCTTGGCCTCCCAAAGTGCTGGGATTACAGGCTGAGCCACCACTCCTGGCCTCAACTGTCTTTTTATCTAGTCATGTGTGTCTGCCTCTCCAATACATTGTGTGCTCGTAGGGAGGGTAGATCTTATTAATCTTCATAGTTCCGCACATCATAGACATTAGTGAATATTTGCTGAAATAAACTAAGCTGTTATTTAGAGCCCTTCTTCTAATGAACAAAATAGTAAAATCTGTGTTTGCTCATAAATTCCCAGGGGCTAAACCCAAATTATATCTGTATTATAGGATATTTATATTAAAATGCATATTGCTGTTATATTTCCAAAATTTTTTATGTTAGAACTTTGAACCTTAACCGTGAATTGATATTTAAGCATGAAGTATTTTAAAATAATTGAACAATCTCTGTTGAGAACATATACCAGGCACTGATACTTGGTGTGTATTATCTCATTTTATCTTTACTAGTGGACCCAAGAGATACAGTTACTATTATTTTCCATATCTTACAAATAAGGGAACAGGATAAGAAATGTTATTCATGTTTAGAGCCAAGATTCAAACCTGGGTCTGTCTCAGTAGAGCCTGTAAACTATATTGCCTAAGGGAGAAATGTAAGCAATATTTATTCTTGTTATAGTTGGTGACCAAAACAGTATTAGTCAGTCAACTATTCTGATACTTAAAAAAAAAAAAATGCCATGCTAAGTCAAGGATATTTCAGTCTCAAATTTGATTATATGGATATTAAAAGGAAAATTGAATATGTTACCGGCAAATAATTTTTCCAAAAAGAAAATAATCAAAAGGCACTTTGACATTGTGACCTTTTGTTTCAGTATCTCCAGGAATGTTTTTTAAGCATACTAAACTAAAACATTGAACAGTGAATCCTTTAAATAACAAGGTTCGAAAGACATTAGATTTCAACTATGTTACCTTTTATTTTACTTCATTTGCCTGCAACTGACTTTAAAGTAGTGTCACCAAGCTTGAGAGTGCCTTTAAACGTTTTCAAAGGTGGTAAAGATGAAAAAAACCTAACTATGTATGTCATATATTTACCCAGGAAAGATGTACAGACCATCCTGAATATTAGGTTTATTGATTTTTGTCTGTGTATATGAAATTTTGTTAGAAAAATATTGTCTTTAAAGACAAGTGGGAAAATTTTTGTGATAATGTAATTTCTTAACTAGCCCTTCAAAAGCTGTTTGTAAAAAATACTTAAAAGTTTCTTAGTTATAATAAGTTGGAAAAAAATTAAAATTAAAAAAAGCTGGGAACCACTGTCCTGGGAAGATAAATTCTGTTATTTTTATTCCTTTGTGAGCAAGATGTGCTCTTCATAAGGATCTCTTTAAATCGAATATTTTAGGAGAATTTGAAGGTGTTTAGGTAATTTTTAAATTCTGAAGGCAATTTGAAATAGATGGCTTACTGGAACCCAGAAAAATGCAGGTTTATCAAGATACCATTAAAAACGAGTCTTCGTTTTTTGCTTTTTTGTTTTTTCTTTCTTGTAGTTTATTTATGTGAATCAGTCCTTTGCTCCTTCCCCAGACCAAGAAGTTGGTACCCTCTATGAGGTAAAATAATTATTGCTTTTTTTTCTTATTGGAGTATGCACATTTGTATAATATGTATACTATACTATATAGTATCACTACTATATAATATCATAATTCACATCTGTAAGAGATGGCATGCTGTTCTTCATTGTCTCTCAGGGAAAGAAGAGATGACTTTCTTGTTCTCTGTTATGTTTCTAACATTTTGAGCACAGTAGAATCTTAAATTATACATTGATTGAAGAATCAAGGAATAAATTATACTTCAGTGTCATCTTCGCTTTGTATTCTCAGAAAGTAAGATTTTTTCTTTATATCTAGTTTCTTCTATGTTGTCTGTATGATATTATCCAGATCTTTCTCTAAGAAATTGAAAAAAACTGCATAAGAATGTCTCTATTCTTTCAGTTTCATGGCAGTAATCATTAGTATGTACGTACTGCACCACTACTAGAAAATAGCTGAAATTACATACATTATGGTTGGAGATGTAACAAAGGGACAAGATTAAATGTGTGAACCCATTCGTGCCTAAGATGCTTAAAGGTCAGATTTTATTAAACACTTATGACTATTGATGTATGTCTGATGGAAACAGGCATCTTTTGATAAAAATAGCCTATAAGATCGATAACTTACATGTATGGATATTTATGATACATATATGACTTTTTTTTTCCTAGTTACATCTAAGAATAACAAAGACTGAGTGTGATTTATTGCCTTTTTTTCTTTTTGTAGTGTTTTGGCAGTGATGGTAAACTGGTTCTGCATTACTGCAAATCTCAGGCTTGGGGATGAACCACAGAGGAAAACAACTTGCTATTAAAATGAATTTTCACAGAGGAGAAGCTCTGAAAAGTTCTGATGCTTGTGGCAAGAGACTTAGCAGTTATGATCTATTCAGCATGTGTCTACCATGGACTATGTTCATGCATAAGAAAATATCCATAGTGTGGGATGGATTTGTATTAATACACAAATCATCATAAAAGATTGCCATTAGAATATACTCATTGCTTCTATCCATTACTACTGTTTACTGCAGATCTGCCTCTAAGACTATATAAATTTGTTCATTATCCTTTCTCAAAATGATGAAATTTTTTTCACTGTAAAAGCTAATTTAGTAAAGAGTTTTGTTTGTTTGTTTGTTTTTAAGCATATTCAGGGAACTTCAATTTGTTTGGGAATTGGGATACTTACATTTATATCTACTGTGTTACTTCTTGTAAAAATAAAGTCACATTGACTTGCTGGTTGAATACCTTAAATAGTCCGGTAGAGGGCAGCCCTGCTGGCAGAAAGAGTTTGCAGTTTGTTTACATCCTTGCCATACCTGGGGAAAAGGCTGTTCTTACTGATTTTTAGCTATATCTAACTAGAGAGCAAGTTGGACAAACTGGAAGACTGTTTTAGAGAATATGCATAAGTTATTTTATTGGGATATAGAGGGAGATTTATAAATTCTGGACAAATGAGTCACATAGCTCTTTTTAGTCCTGCCACTTAATGATTCTTGGGTCCCAATTTTGTAACTATGGAACTATGGTGTTAATTCTGTCACTTATTTATGTAGTGTTAAAAGCGCCTGATTGATAAACTCAGTGGTGTCTTTGAATGTTTCATAATGCATCTTCCATCTTGAAAGCACTCAGTAATTGAAAAATATCCTTAGATGTTATGTGTATTTCATGCCATGACTGAGTACCATTTTTACTGATGCTGTTAGACTGGTGGTTTCTTGAAGGGGAGATTTAACTTTTTTTTTCCCTGCTGTTTATTATAATGCCACTAAAAGGAAAAAAATAGGCTGGGCTCGGTGGCTCAGCCTGTAACCAGCACTTTGGGAGGCCGAGGCAAATAGATTGCCTGAGCCCACAGGTTCGTGACCAGCCTGGGCAACTTGGCAAGACCTTGTCTCTACAATAAATCAAAAATTAGCAGCTGGGCTTCGTGGCTCAGCCTATAATCCCGCGCCTTTGGGAGGCTGAGGTGAGTGGATTGCCTGAACCCGCGGGTTCGAGACCCGCCTGGGCAACCAGACCTCATCTCTACAATAAATCAAAAAATCAGCTGGGCGTGGTAGTGCATGCCTGTAATTCCGGCTACTTGGAAGGCTGAGGTGAAAGGATCACTGGAGCCCAGCAGGCGAGGCTGCGGTGGCCGAGAGCAGCCACTGCACTCCAGTCTGGGCAACCAAATGAGACTCCAACTCAAAAAAGAAAAAAAAGAAGAAAACAAAAAATTAGCTGGGCGTGGTTGCATATGCCAGTAGTTCCGGCTACTTGGAAGGATAAGATGTAATAGTTGCTGGCTCCCATCAGGTCGATGCTGGAGTAGCTGTGAGTGTGCCACTGCACTCCAGCTTGGGCAACAGAGTGAGACTCCAACTCAAAATAATAATAATAATAAAATAAAATTTTAGAAATGGAAAAAACAAAAAGCATCCCAATAAATTGAATGGAATGTTCAAGCAGTATCTAAGGTATGTGCTAGAATTTCAGGTGTTTACTTTCAAAGGTAATGATGGGAATGATATTGAAGGATTTGAACTAATGTCCCTTAAATACCAGAATGCACTCTATGGCTATAGTGACTTGCCATACTCTACATTAAGGGATGCTAAGTAACAGTTAATGTTACAGTGATACAGTCACTATTCAGTTCTCATTTTCTGCCCAAACCTGTGAATTTTTTAGTTCCCTTATACCAATGTCTCTGTGTAATAAATTAATACAGCTAATAGTACAAGCTGAATTGTGAAGCATACGATTAGAAAAAATGTGTATACATATTGAAAGCTGGAAAGTTTATCATTTTCTAGTTAAATAAGTTGGCTATGGGAAATATCTGTTCTCTAGTTTTGTCCACTTACAGTTTACTGAAGGAAGTGAATATATTTATTTCTATGCATATACTTACTATATGGCAAAAATATGTTGAATTTGTGTATTATTTTTGCCACTGAGGTTTCAGATGATAGAATATTGCTACCTCAACAACCAAAAATACTTGAGTTTGAATTTGTGGCATCAGTTTAACTATGCTTCTTGATCTAAGTAACCTACTAGTTTATTAAATCTAAGGTTAGCTAAATATGTATACCTTATTTGTTTTCTTCCCTGGTAACCTTGAATATGTAGAACTTTACACTTTTTCAAACCATATTTACAAGATCTCTTGATCTTTTCTCAGAGAATCATTCTGCACTAAATTTACAATGTTTACTTGGCAGCCTGGGTCTCATAAGTTATTGGGTAATGAGAACCTGAAACACAGTTTATTCACAAATATTTTTGCAGGGATCTAATTTAAACTGTCTTCAGTTTAATTGGACTTGGGGGAAAAAACTGAACTTGCTGGTTATGTTTTAAGTTTTCCATATTTATAACTAAATAGATGTCAATAACGTCAGGCCTTTCTTACTGTGTAAAGACCCAGAGCACACAAGTATATGTGATATTAGAATATTGTGCCTCCATCTTTAAAAATATCAAAGCCAAGGACTTCATAATGAGTTCCCCATATTTAGGGCATAAGGTAAATAATATTTTATCCAATCAAAGTGGAAATTGCATACTTCCTGGAATCTATGATTTCTCTAAGTTTCAGTCCTAAAGGGACCTTAAATATCTTCTAGCAGTGCATGCAAAATATGCCTCAAATTATATAGCATTAGTCAACCAATTTAGTTGTAACACAAAGTGGGAAAGCCTTCAGTGTTAAAGGAGTGTGAAAACAAAAATTGCCTTTCATACAGCTTCTGTTTCAGTTTTCGAGGATTATAATATGCTGAGTAAGCTTTTGGCAATAGGAAACTAGCTTCAGGTGACACAGGTATTCAGAAAATAGCTCAGGAGTTTCTGTTTTACAAACACTATTTCTCTACAACATTATTCCACCCAAACAAGATTATTCACTATTTCCCAAACATACCTTGTGGGGTTTTTTTTGTTTTCTACATCTGCTCTTGCAATTTACCTACACCTTCACACCTTCTAATCCTAACTCTTCTTTAAGGGCTAATTCAGCGTTTAACTCTTCTTAAAGCCTGTCTGAATCACTCAAGGAGGAGATACCTTCTCCCTCATTAGAACACTTAACGGCAAACTACCACTATTATAGCACTTACTGCATACTGCCCCAAAGGCCTGTGTCCAGCACCCCTTTATGATTAGTGAAGTCTCTGAAAATAAATATTTTTCAGTTTTTTATTTGGTACCTACACAAACATAATAGTTCATTTCCTTATACATATATATTCAGTAATCTAACATTTCATGAATGAAACTAAGTGTGACTAGCAACAATAAAGGAAATTTGTGTAATAAAGTTCCTATATAGCAGAAGGTAATGGAAAATATTTGCAACATACAACAGGGTTTTTAATATAAGAACTCATTTCAATTAGCAAAAGACAAATCAGCTGAAAATTAATAAAGTACTAGAATTCAGTTCACAAAAAATACAGATGGTCGATAAAGCATTAAAAACCTTGAATCCCATTAATTACAAAAATACAAATAAAGACAATGCTGATTATCACCCATCATTAAATATAATTGAAAAGAATATACATCTCAGTACTGGCAAAGTTGTTGTTAAATAAGTCCTGTCATTCATTGGAGAATGAAATGTGAGTTGGTACTTCATTTTTAGGGGGCAGTTTTGGCAATATCAAAAACCTTGAAACTTAAGTATAAACTTTAATTTGTTGATATAACCTTCCATTCACATATAGAGTGCCTACTATGTCCTAAGCATTGGAATAAGACTAATAAAATCCCTGTTCATGAGGCACTTTTATGCTAAAAGTGGATTTTCAGATTTGATCTTGAAAATTTTTTAATTGAAATAAGTAATAGAAAGTAAAAAGATATTTGATGCCTAATATTAGCTTTACATATATTTTATTAATATTAACGAACAAAAGAGTAATCTCATAGGAGTGTAAAATCTTAAGTTAGAGGAATCTGTAAATCAACTCCCATAGTTCCTTCTGTGTCATAACAGATATACATGAATCTTATGATGATTACTTGTATTGATAGACATAAAGGAGCTCCTATCCATTTTGAGATGGCTCTATTTGTTACAGAACTGTCTTCCTCACAGCATACCAAAGTCTGTCTCCCTGTTTCTTCCAACTATTTGTTCCCCAGTTTTAATACATAGACCACAAAATGTCTTTCCTGTGTTTCCACCCATTTCCCCAAGTTTTCTTTGTCTTAGTAAATTATATATCCAGTCTTCAGTTGCTTAGAATCTTCTTGACGCCTCTCTTCCAATTCAGTTTCTATCAAATCCTGACAACTTTACAACCCAAAGTGATATACAGATTCAATGTGGTTCCTACCAAAATACCAATGGCATTCTTGCAGAAATAGAAAAAACAATCCTAAAATCAAATTAGACTATACAAAGCTGTAGTAACCAAAACAACTTTGTACTGGCATAAAAACAGACACATAGGCCAATGGAACAGAGTAGAGAACCCAGAAATAAATCCATGCATTTATAATCAACTCTTTCAATAAGAGCAGCAAAAACATACATTGGGGAAAGATAGTCTCTTTGATAAATGGTATTTGGAAAACTGACTTACAAATACTATTTCTTTATTTTTCATACACAGAAAAGTGGAACTAGACCCCATCTCTTGCCATATGCAAAAGTCAAATTGTAATAGATAAAAAACTTAAATGTAAGAAATGAAACTATGAAGCTCTTTGAAGAAAACATTGGGGAAACATTTCAGGACATTTGTCTGAACAAATTTCAAATTTTTTTTAGTAAGACCTCAAAAGCACAGGCAACCAAAGTTAAAAAGCTTCTGTACAGCAAAGAAAGTACAGAGACAGCCCACAGAATGAGAAGATATTTGCAGACTACCCATCTGATGAGATTAAGTAACCAGGATATATAAAGAATTCAACCCAATAGCAAAAAAGATAATCGGACTTAAGGATGGAAAAATATTCCATGTTCATGGATTAGAAGAATAAAC